GACCTGCGTGCCCCACTACCCTCCACAATAAACACCGAAATCAAATATGCAGGTTCCACAGTCAGGTACGTGCACCCTCTAAGTCACTGCATCAGCAACAACGAAGAGAAGGGAAGAAGGAGGAAAAACTGAAAGAAGTGGAAAAAATTGAAAGTGAATTTAATCCACACATTAATAAATTAAGTGGGAGGAGACTAGAATTTCAATAGACAAACATTCATTCATAACAGAAACTGAAGGGAGCATCCCCCACCATCCTCCACCAGGTTAAGGTCAGCATCCTCAACAATGAGAGGCTCAAAGCTTCCCAGGAAACAAAGGAAGTTCTCACTGGCCATTTCTATTCAAACCCATCCGGGATATTCTAAGTAGCACAATGAGGCAAGGAAAAGAAGTAAAAGGCGTATGTGGAAGAATGGAAGAAGTAGACTAATTGTTACTTGCAGAAAACAGGATCATGTACAGATTTAAAAAAAAAAAAAGAGAGAGAGAGAGAGATCCAGGGCTGGAGGGAATAGTACAATGGGTAGGGCCTCTGCCTTGCACACAGCCAACCAGGGCTCGATTCCCAGCATCCCATATGGTCCCCTGAGCACCCTAGGAATGATTCCTGAGTGTAGAGCCAGGGGTGACCCCTGTGCATCACTGGGTGTAATCCTAAAAGCAAATTTAAAAAGTCTAAGAGAGGGGCTGGAGCAATAGCACAGCGGGTAGGGCGTTTGCTTTGCATGCAGACGACCCGGGTTTGATTCCCAGCATCCCATATGGTCCCCTGAGCACCGCCAGGAGAAACTCCTGAGTGCAGAGCCAGGAGGAACCCCTGTGCATCGCCGGTGTGACCCCAAAAAGCAAAAAAAAAAAGTCTAAGAGATCTGCAAAATACCCTACAAGGACTTACAACTGCCATCAACGGGCAGGGGAGAGAGATGGGGGTGGGGGTGGAGGCAGGGCGGGGCAGCGGGGGGAGGGGGGAGAGAGACCTAAGCACTAAACTGCAAGGCCCACACAACTGAGTGGGGGAGGAAGAACAGGAATGGAGGAATTAGCCTCCCCAATTTCAAACTATTAGGCAAGCTACCAAGAGTATTCAATATGCCAGACACAGTAACAACAAAGTCTCCAATGGAGACGTTACTGGGCCCGCTCGAGCAAATCGACAATCAACGGGAGGGCCTTTACCTTTACCTTTACCTTACAAAGCAACAGTCATTAAAACAGTATAAACACAGTGGCTAGAGTGGCTAGTTCGGGGGCTTAGGTGTTTGTCTCGCATGTGGCCGACTCGGGTTCCATCCCCACTACAATATATGGTCCCCCATGCCCCACCAAGAGTGCTCCCTGAGCCCAGAGCTAGGAGTAAACCCTCAGTACTGCCAGTTGGGGCCCCAAGCCCCCTCTCCCAAATCAAACAATAAAATTAGAGAATTGATCAGAACTGACGGCCAGAAATAAAACCATATATGCATATACAATTAATTTACGACATAGGTGCCAAGAGTTTACGATGGAGCAAGGAAAGTATCTTGGAAAAATAAAAAATAAGTTGGAAAACCTGGCCAGCCACATACAAAAGAATGAAACTAACCACTAATACCCAGACAAAAATTAATCCAAAATGGAGTAAGATTTAAAACCATAAACTACCTGAAAGGAAGCAGGTGCTAGACTCCTAATGTCAGCCAAAAAAACATATTTAGGGACTACAATGGCAAAGAAAACAAAAGTAACAAATGAACTACATCAAACCGTTCAAGAAACTTGCTTCAATACAAAAGGACGCAGGGCTGGAGCGATAGAACAGTGGGTAGGGCGTTTGCCTTGCATGCAGCCAACCCAGGTTCGATTCCTAGCATCCCATAGGGTCCCCTGAGCACCACCAGGAGTAATTCCTGAGTGCAAAGCCAGGAGTAACCCCTGTGCATCGCCGGGTGTGACCCAAAAGGGAAAAAAAAAGACACTCCACTGACTGGAAGAAGATATCTGCATGTCATATATCTGACCTGGGGCGCATGTCTAAAATATACACAGAATTCAAACTCAACAAGGAAGAAAGCACCATGAGAAATAGGCAGAGTACCGGAATAGACATTGCTCGGAAGGGAACACATAGATGGTTAATGAGTTCATCATCTTTCTTTCCAGGGAAAAGCAAATCAAAACAACGAGATACCCCTCCACAGTGGGAATGCCCGTTGACCCAAAGCATCAGTTCCCAAAGTGTGTGTGGGTGGGGGGACGAGACCAACCCAGTGGGGAGGTTGTGGTGCTGGGCCAAATTCCATCATTGTGGATATCATTGTGGATATCAGTTTTTGAGAGTCCTCAAAAAACTTAAAATAGAAATTTCATTTGACCCTTATTCTACTCCGCAGTATTTACCCCCGAAATACAAAAGTACTGATTCAATAACACAAATGCACACCCCTGTTTATTGCAGCGTTATTTGTAATAGCCAAGAAAGAAAAACAAACTACGTGCCCACAGAATAACAAATGGGTAGATAAGATATAACACACAATAAATATTTATTGAAAAAAATAGATGAAAATCCTGCCATTTGCAAGAATAAAGATGAACCTAGAGGAGATTAAAGTTAACCAGATGGAGAAAGATAAACACCAGATGATTCCAGTCATCTGTAGTAGAGAGAAAACAGATGAACTAAATAAAACAAAAAGATAAACCTTTGAACCTAAGGTCAGTCGGTGGTTACCAGCAAGGAAAAGAGGTGGGTAAGCCCCGACAAAGGAGACAACCACATGGTGAATACTATCGTTGAACTTTCAGTGAAAAAAATTAATGCAAGTTATGCGCATGTCAATTTTCAGTGATGCACACCTGCAGCTTAAGGCTACAACAATTTTCTCATTTGAATGCAAATAAAAATGTTAAAAACCATAATTACTATAAGCCAAGTATGGGTCTCATTCTCCTAAAGAGCCTTGAATATAATCTCAGGGCTAGGATGAAAGAGACGTTACTGGGGCCTGCTCGAGGCAATCGACGAATAACAGGATGATGAAAAAATGAAAAGTAATGTATATACAAGTGACAAATTATCTTTAATCTTCAGAAAATAGCCTTAGAAGCTATGCTGTTTGGGGCTTGGGGTTTTTGTTTGTTTGGGGGCCACACCTGGTGATACTCAGGGGTTCCTCCAGGCTCTGCACTCCGGGATTACTCTTGGCGGTGCTCAGGGGAATATATGGGATGCGGAGACTGCACCTAGGTCAGCCGTCTGCCAGGCACGGGCCCTCCCTGCTGTACTACCACTCTGGCCTGAAGATAAGTATTCTTATCCCCATTTTTCTTAACTCCCTTTTTTTTTGGAGTTATTGAAAACATAAGATATTTGTCCAAACCCAGTCACTGGAGTAGGGGAAGAAATCTCAATCCCGGGTCTGTGCCCAAAAACACCCTTCTAACTTTCAAATGGTGTGATAAGCCACCACTGAAAAGTGTTTTTTCTCTGGGGTACCTTCGTGAGGGGGGTAAGCCAAGCCCCCACTCTGCTGAAGCCTCACCCACGCCCCTGAGCTGCCGACTCCACTGCCTTAGGACGAAGCTCTGCAAAGACGCCCATCTGCTGAAAATTCCAGGGACACGAGTCTTCGGGCTGAGAACTCCAGGGTCGGCACAGAGCCGGGGTGGGCAGTCCAAGCAGCCAGCCCCACATCCCCCTACTGCCGCTGTGCACACTCACAGCCCAGTTCAGTATCCTGGCGGATCTGGGGCAGGCAGCCAAGACACCTCCGAACTCCACAGTACTGACAGCCCAGTAGGAGCACATTGATGAGGTGGGAAAGTAACAGAGAAGCCGACTACAACCACGAACAAAAACACAGAAGGCTCAGCTAGCAACAAACAGCTCAGCAAACCCTCGGGCAGGGACTCAGTGACCCCACGTTGTGAAACAACAGTTTTCACAAATTTTCTTTTGCTGAAGTATTTTCTGATAGTTCCATTAGTCACTCAGCTGTAACAAGCAATACAAAATAAGTGATTTTGTGCCTGTCAAGGGGGCAGGCTTGGGGGGTGGTTGGGAAAATGGGGTCAATGGTGGAGGGCAGGTCATACTGCTGGTGGGACTGGTGATGGAAAAACGGAAAGCCAAATGCCTGTAACAAACATATCATGAACAGTTCTGTGAACCACGGTGTACAAGGGGGAAATAAAAAATTTTAATTAAAAAAACTGGCCTTAGAGAAGGGACCACCAAATAAAGGGTGTTGAGTGGATCCCCCCAGGATGGGAGAGGCATGCTGAAGTAGACTATAGACCAAACATGATTGCCACCCGTTGCCTCTTTTGCAAACCACAACACCCAAAAGGAGAGAGAGAACAAAAGGGAATGCCCTGCCACAGAGGCAGGGTGGGATGGGGGTACGGGGGTGTGGGAGGGATACTGGGATCATTGGTGGTGGAGAATGGGCACTGGTGGAGGGATGGGTATTTAATTATTGTATAATTGAAACCTAAGCACAAAAATTTGTAAGTCTTCAGCTGTACCTCATGGTGTTTCACTAATAAAAATTTTAAAAAAAAAGAAAGAAAAACTGGCTTTAGGAAGAAATGTAAAACTACTGACTTCTCTCTTGAGTCTCTCTCTGTCTCTGTATCTCTGTCTCTCTCTCCTCTGTCTCTCTCTCTTCAGAGAATGTCTCTGTCTTCTTTCTCTCTTTCTCCTCTCTCCCGCTCCCTCTCCGTCTCCCTCCCCATCTCTCTCTCTTTCTCTCTCTCTCTCTCTCTCTCTCTCTCTCTCTCTCTCTCTCTCTCCCCTACTCCCTCCTTTCCTGTCTCCTCTGTTTTTTTCCCAAGCCCTGTTCTCTTCAAGAACTGCTAGGAATAATTCCTGAGTGTAGAACCAGGAGTGACCCCTGAGCACTGCTAGGTGTGCCCCCCACCCCGAAAAAAAAGAAAAGAAATGCAGTGAGTCAGTAAAGTTACATTAAAATCAGGAATCAGCACACAAAGACTTTGAACGTAGGTGAAATCTCTACCTTCGGCCATTTAGGGTTGAGGAGTCGAGCTCTGATGGCATCATCCAGGGCCTTGTCATACTGCTGGATCTTCATGTAGGCTGCAGATCGATTGCTGTACAAGATGCAGTTCTGAGGGTCAACAGCCAGGGCTTCATTATACAGAACAATGGCCGTGTGGAAATCCCCGTCGTGACAGGCCTGATTACTCTGACGAACCTTCTCCACAAATTCCGCTTTGCTCAGCACTGGCCCATCAGGACTTCTCTGGCCAAGAGTCTTAGCACCAAAAAGAGGAATCTACAAGGAAAGAAACTTTATGAGACAAACTTCCAAAAAAATCCAGAGCAATACCTTGCCTGACATTCAAGAGAATAAAGACATTCTTCATGGTCCAAAACAAACCTGTATGCCTTGAAAGATAGCAAACTAAGGTATACACATATTGTTTTGGATGTGTGTGTGTGTGTGTACGTGTGTGTATAGCTACAGATTTGCACATATTTATAGTTGCACTTCTGACTAAGAGAATGAATGAATGAATGAATGAATGAATGAAAGAAAATGCTACACAGGCTTTCCTTTGGCAATTTAAAGTTATACCAAGGGGAGCCAGAGCAATAGCACAGTGGAGAGGGCGCCTGCGTTGCACATGGCTGACTTGAGTTGATTCGCAGAACCCCAGATGGTCCCCCAAGCACTGCCATGAGTAATTCCTGAACCTACAAAGAGCCAGGAGCAACCCCTGAGCATCACCAGATGTGGCCCAAAACCCAAAAAATTTTTAAAAATAAAGTTTTACTAAGGATAATATCAAAATATAAACCTCTATAAATAGAATGATCTCAACGATATTAAGATGGGTATCATTTAAAACTGACAGCTGGGGACCTGAGAGATAGCGCAGCAGGTAGGGAGCACAGCAGGGAGCTGGCCTTGCATGCAACCAACCTGGATTTGCCTTGGATGTGACCCCTGAGCACAGTGCCAGGAGTCAGCCCTGAGCATTGCCAGGTGAGGGCCCAAAAACAAAATGTGAAATAAAGGTGGACAGAAATGAAACTTGTATGTAGATCATGATATAATGTATACAGTTTTAAAATGCCATACACCTGGAACATGTCATCTCATGAGAAGACATTAAATCTACTTTTAAAAATTAAGAGGACTGGAGAGACAGTAGAGCAGGTAGGGCATTTGCCTTGCACACAAGCTGACCCTGGTTAGATCTCCAGCACTGCATATAATCCCCTGGGCACTGTGAGGAATGATCCCTAAGCAGAGATCCAGGAGCAAACCCTGAGCACAGCCGGGTGTGACCCAAAAACCAAAAATAATAATTATTAACAAAAAAATCAAAATGTTAACTACACGATCATTAGATACAAGACAGAGATATTTGTAAAAAGAATAAATCCCACAAAGAAGAGGAAGAAAGGCAGATGGAATCTCTCAAATATGCAACTATTCTTTCTTGGCTTACAGAGGTATCAATCATATCCTATACTGCCAGAATAATTGGAAACACTGGTATATCCTGGAAATTTCAAATATCATTGCCCAAGTTATATATCTCAACTTCCTCATGCCAGAAATGGCTAATGTGTTCTGCACAATGTATTCTGGTTATTGTTGTCATTATGAATTTCAAATCATATCACTTGAAAATGAAGGATCTATCAGCAAAACTGAAAACATGAGATCTAAGTGGCAACCACGGAAACTTGGCAATGTGTCTGTCAAACTGACGGTGAGGAGGAGCTGGGGGTTGGGGTGGAGAGGGAATATGAGAACACTGGCGAAGGGAAGTTGACACCAGTGGTAGGCCTGGGGTTGAAATATTATATGACTAAAACTCAAGTATCAATAGCTTTGTATATCGGTTCCATAATAAAATTTTTTAATTAAAAAAAAAAGAAGAAAATGAATGGTCTACATAAATTTTGCCTGTTGTAAACAATTTTGGTTTTTAACTTTTTATCTACATCATTAAGCCAACGGACAAGACTGACAGTGCACAGGACTGGTTTCATTCTGGAAAATAGTCATCATAACCCTAGACAAGTTGAGTAGCACTGTAGCACTGTTCATGGATTTGCTCGAGCGGGCACCAGTAACATCTCCATTGTGAGACTTGTTGTTACTGTTTTTGGCATATCGAATACGTCACAGGTAGCTTGCCAGGCTCTGCCGTGTGGGTGGGATACTCTTGGTAGCTTGCCGGGCTGTCCGAGAGGAACGAAGGAATAGAACTGGCATCGGCCGCGTGCAAGGCAAGCATCCTACCTGCTGCGCTATAAATTCTAAACTCTGTATTTAAAATATTGAGGTGTTAAAATAAATATATATTGAGGTGTTAAAAAATTGAGGTGTAGGGGCTAGAGAGATAGTACAGTCCGTAGGGTGCTCACCTTGCACATGGCCAAGTCAGGTTCAATCCCTGACATCCCATATGATCCTCTTCGCTCTCTCAGGAGTAATTTCTGAATGCAGAACTAGGAGTTATCCCTGAGCATCATCACTGAGTGTGGCTCAAAAACCAAAAAAAGAAAAAAAACTGAGGTGTAGTGGACAGAGTACAGTAAGTAAGGCACTTGTCTTGAATGCAGCCAACTTGGGTTCAATCCCTGGCATCTTAAATGGTTCCTTGAGTCCACCAGGAGTGATTCCTGAGTGCAGAACCAGGATCAAGCCCTGATCACCACTAGATGTGTCCCGAAACAAAAACAACATAATTTTTTAAATATGCAAATAAAAATTGAGGTGCATGACATTTAAAAAATAACAAAATTGCCTTTGAAGTAAAATACGAAGGTATAAATAGTTCTGAAGTATGAAAGACATTATCCTAATATTGCAGCATCCTCTCCTTCTGAGAGTGCCGAATCCTAAGTCTCCAGAGTCTCCTGCCCCCGCGCCTGGCTGTCCTCACCGGGGCCCCTTGGAGGGGGGAGGGTTAAGTTTCTCTCCACCCCACCCGCCGCCCCGAGCAGAGGCCCAGAAGCTGAGGACCTCCAGAGCCAGCCACGGCCATGCTGGGAGCACTCTCCACACGTCTGGAAGGGCCTCATGCATGAAGGAACTGGCAGAGGAATCCAGGCATGCGGGTCCCGGGGCTGAGGTCTCCAAGCCTACTCGGATTGGGACTGGGCCTTCTCCACCTAGACCCTCCATCTTCCAGTAGGTAGGCGTCACACCCACCAGCTGCCAGGTTGGTCCCATCAACGGCCAAGACGCAGAGATTATAAAACCCAGTTCCTGGAAGCACAAGGCCACAAATGCGGCTGCGCGACATCTTATTTTATTTTTCCTTTTGGAGAACCTGGCAGGCTACCAAAAGTATCCTGCCCACATGGCAGAGTCTGGCAAACTTCCCGTGGCGTGCCGATATGCCAAATACCAGTAACAATGATGGGTCTCATCCTCCTAATCCTGAAAGAGCATTGAAGTGGCTCTTTTAAAATCTCAGGGCTAGGAAGAAGGAGATGTTACTGGAAATTACTCTAGGAAATTGACGAACAACAGGATGATCGTGATCGTGACCTCTCCTTCTTAAAAAGAAAAATAATTTCAGTTCAACGCCAACAAAGGAGAGAGTCGAATTTAATCTACTTTTCAAACACAAAAGTGATTTTAGGGGGTCAGAGCAATAATATAGCAAGTAGGGTGCTTGTCTTGCATGCAGCCAACCCTCGCACCATCAGCACCGATTCCTGAGTGCAGAGCCTGGTCACCAGGTGGCCCAAAAACAAAAACAAATCATTGATTTGAAAAGATGTAGGCACATCTATGTTCACTGCAGTGCTCAACACGATAGCCAGGATATGGACGCCACCCAAATGTCAGTAACAGATAAATGGCTAGCAAGGTCGTAGAATGTATACACAATAAAATAGGGTACAGCAGTAAGGAAAGATGAACTCAGGCTCTTCACTGCAACCTGGTCGGAACTGGAGGGTTTCATGTTAAAGTGAAGTCAGAAGGACAAGGACAAATCTCTCTCTGTGATACAGAGAGAAATAGGAAAAGGAAATGGAAGATACGAAGGGACGGCAAACTCTTAATCCTGAATTTCAGAACTGAGAATGCATGAAAGGTGGAATAAGGGTTGGGGGGAGAGGTGGAGGTAGGGGAAAACAAGGTGAACTGAAGGATGTTGGTGGGGATCTTCGGCATCTGGGTGGTGGGAAGGTGAGGTGACTGTCTATGTTAGACTGTCTATTGTCTATGTTAAAACCATAAAAAGTATTAGTACTGCAAGCATGTGATGTTTACAGATTAAAATTTTTTAAGAAATGGTTCGAATTTTTGGATCACACCCAGTTGTGCTTGGGGTTTACTCCTGGCTCTGCATTCAGCGATCAACCCTGGAAGGACTCAGGGCACCATATTAGGGTTCCAGAGATCAAATCCAGGTTGGACACATGCAAAGAAGTGATCTACACACTGTACTATCATTCCACCACTCCAGCTACACACACTCACACACACACACACACACACACACACACACACACAGACTTGTTATGAGCTTGTCAACAGGGTGGGGTGTGCAGGAGGACCTTGATACTTTGGTAGGGGGAGGCTGATACTGGTGAGTGGGGAGTTGGCTGGGTTTTGTTGATCTGGCTTTGGGGTTACACCCTGTGATGCTCAGGGGCTATCTCTGATTCTGTGCTCAGAAATGACCCCTGACAGTGCTCAGGGGATCATATGTCAGAGAGCATATCAGGGTCAACGGGTGCAAGGCATGCACCTTATCTCGTCCGCTGTTTCTGCCAGGGTGGAACTGAAACGTAGTGTGCCTGAAGCCCTAACAGTCTTGTAAATCATAATCCCTAAATAAAAATGGAAAGAAACAGCCAAGTTTAAAAAAAAAAATTTAAAGATCTTCAGTCCATTATTCCATATGTGCTAATGTAAACATTTCCCAAACTATGTTGCAAGGAACCCTGAGGAACTTAAGATCCTGATATGAACAAAGTCAAACAGACTTCTTCTCTAGAAAAAAGAGATCCCAGACCTTTTCTTTGCGAATCTGAGAGGGGAGATGTACATTATAAGATCAAAGGACCTTCTGGATGAAGGATCTAGCTGCAGCAGAAATGACTTCAAACACTGATGTAAACTATTAAGACAGAGAGCAAAGGAAAACATCAGGGAAAAGTTAAAGCGAGTGCAGAAAGATTATAAATACTGAGAATCCCAAACACCATCCTCACCACCAAGTGTCCACAAACTTCAGAGAAAAATACACTCTGTTGGTGCTCCCCAGAAGCTTCTAATTTGTCCCAATATGC